GCACACGATGGTCACTCTGAAAGAGCTCCAGCGTTTCTCTGTGGAGAGAGGAGAAACTTCCAGAAGAACAACCATCTCTCTGCAGCACTCCACCAATCAGGCCTGTATGGTAGAGTGGCCAGACGGAAGCCACTCCTCGGTAAAAGGCAAATGATAGCCCGCCTGGAGTTTGCCAAAAGGCACCTGAGGGACTCTGACCATGAGAAACAAAACTCTCTGGTCTGATGAAACATAGATTGAACTCTTTGGCCTGAATGCCAAGTGTCATATCTGGAGGAAACCAGGCACCGCTCACCATCTGGCCAATACCATCCCTAGAGTGAAGCATGTTGGTGGCAGCAACATGCTGTGAGGAAGTTTTTCAGCTGCAGGAACTGGGAGACTAGTCAGGATTGAAGGAAAGAATAATGCAAAAATGTACAGAGACATCCTTGATGAAAACCTGTTCCAGAGCGCTCTGGACCTTAGACTGGGGCGACGGTTCATCTTCCAACAGGACAACGACCCTAAGCACACAGCCCACATAACAAAGGAGTGGCTACAGGCCAACTCTGTGAATGTCCTGGAGTGGCCCAGCCAGAGCCCACACTTAAAACTGATTGAACATCTCTAGAGAGATCTGAAAATGGCTGTGCACCGTTGCTCCCCATCCAACCTGATGTAGCTTGAGAGGTACTGCAAAGAAGAATGGGAGAAATTGCCCAAAAAATAGGGTGTGCCAAGCTTGTAGCAGCATCACACTCAAAACAACTTGAGGCTGTAATTGGTGCTAAAGGTGCTTCACAAATGTATTGAGCAAATGCGGTGAATACTTATGTACATGTGTTTTCTTTCGTTTTTTATTTTTAAGAAATTGCAAAGATTTCAAAACTAACTTCTATCATGGTGTCATTATGGGGAATGGTTTGTAGAATGTTGAGGAAAAAAATGAATTTAATTCATTTTGGAATAAGGCTGTAACATAACAAAATGTGGCAAAAGTTAAGCACTGTGAATACTTTCTGAATGCGATGTACAAGCCGTCAGCAAAGCCTATCAGTACTTGTAGTTCTCCCATTCACAGAACTCTGTGAATAAATGAAACGGCTGGGTGGAGCACCGCACATCCACATTTGTTTTTTAAACTGTGACATCAGGTGCAGAGAGAAGATCCACAGCCCTTCTGTTAGAACAGTGGATTGGGGGTGCATGTTACAAAAGGTGAACTTGTTCTTTAAATACTAGTCTACCATGCCATTTATAAAACGTATCACACAATGGTGCAGTGTGGGAACACGTGTAAAAAACATGCATTTTCCCGCACCACCCCCAAAAAGGTGCTGCCTTTTGCAGACACACGCAAGTGTCATTAACCACTTGCCCTCTGGAAGATTTACCCCCCCCCCCCCCTGACCAGGCCATTTTCTTGCGATACAGTGCTGCGTTACTTTAACTGACAACTGCACGGTCATGCAAAGCTGTACCTGAACTTTTGAAATGTATGTCCTTTTTTTCCCCCAGAGCTTTCTTTTGTTGGTATTTGATCAGCTCTGCAGTTTTTTACTTTTTGCATTATAAACAAAAAAAGACCAACAATTCTGAAAAAAAAAATATATATATATATTTTCTACTATAAAACATTTCTAATTAAAAATCTAATTTCTTCATAAATTTAGGCCAAAATGTATTCTGCTACATATTTTATGTTAATATACATTCATTTGATTTTTTTTTTTTTTTTATTTGTTTTTAGTGTCTACTAACTATGGGGCATATACCGGAATTTTTTTATTTCTTTTTAATACTAGTAATGGTGGCGATCAGTGACTTATAGTGGGGCTGCGATATTGCGGCCGACATTTTTAAACTGACACTTTCTGGAAACCAGTGACACTAATGCAGTGATCAGTGCTAAAAATATACACTAATTACTGTACTAAAGACACTGGTTGGGAAGGGGTTAACATCTAGGGTGATCAAAGGGTTAAGTGTGTGCCTAGCTATGCGCTTGGTGTACACTAGATGATGCTGGTACAAGAAGAAATGATGGATCGTGTTCCCAGCTCTGCAAAGACACACGATCGATCACTCCCTCCTGTCACAACAGAGCTGTGTCCATGTGAACATAGGAACAGCTCTGTTATTCCTCCCTGTCCGACGATCTGCGGTTCGCCAGGACTCACAGATTGGCTTCTACTGTGATAGTTCACAGCAAAAGCGATCCACTGCGCACGCGCCCCCCGTGAGGCAGAGCTGCAAAATAACGTATATAAATGTGATTATGCACAGAAGCACCTCTCTGTAGCAGTAAAACTCCTTTAGGGCGGGGGTGAAGTGGTTAATTCTCAATGGGCATCCTCACTCAACTACTGAATACAAACAGGTTCATGCCCATCAAAACTTGTGGTACCGAAGTACCATGTGATTTGGTGAGGCGATATAAAAAATTGTGCCTGCACATTTCGGGAGGGTTAAAATCCGTCGTTTTTTTTTTTTTTTTTTCCATCTGTGGCCCATTGCAGAGATTTCACTTCCTGTCTCATAGCCAAACAGGAAGTGAGGGAAAACCCCTGCAAATGATGGGAATCCCTTGACCAACCATGTCACCAGAACTATTGTCCCCATTAGGTTTCCCCTCTATTATTTTTCTGGGACAACCCAAAATTTGGGATTACTTTCCACTTTCAATGATAACAGTAAACATGACAAATACAGAGGGTGAATCTAGCAATAAAAGAGAACAGTCAGCAATAAAACTGACAGGTTTTCTAATCCCTTTACACTCTATCCAAAACTAAAAAAAAAAAAACATTTTTCATTTAGTTATACTTTAAAGCTAAAGTTTAAGTATGGACTCTTTTCCATAGTTACATTGGCCCAGTTTGGAAGTTTGGACTAAGGCTGGCCATACACTATACAATTTTCTGTCCAATTTCCTTTAGATTTACCTTCAACTATATAGTGCAAGAGCTTGCCTAAATTGGATACAATTGAAAGTGTTGTTTAGGTTTGTTCTCATATTGTATGGTTTTTGCAAAATCTAAACCAAAAATCTCAAGAAAATTGTATAATGCCAGGCTCAGTGTGTATGTGCACTAGCTGGAAGATCCCTTTTGGCAGCTGAAAATCACTGAAGCAGACCCAGCTACTACAGTGATTGCTGGGCTGAGTTAATCAGTTCAGTCACATTTTTTCCAAGAAAAACCGGATCAGTTCACAGCAGTTTTTTATCAGTTCACATCCATTTTTCATCTGTTTACATCTGTTTTTCATTCGTTCCATTTTTTTTGTTAAAAAAAAAACGGATGTTAATGGATGCGGACATTAACCGCTTTCCCGCCGCCCTATAGCAGATACACTGCTTCTGTATATACATGTGATTTTGCATTTCCAGGTAGAGGGAGCACGCGCCCGACCCGCGCCGCTATTTGTGGCCTTGGCCGTCAATCACCGGGTCCTGGCCAGTGATTACTCACTGGCACCCGGTGATCGCAGAGTATATTACTGACTGGGGAGAGACCTGTATGTAAACAATACAGTTCTCTCCCCTGTCAGCTCCTGCACACTTTGCATGGCTCTGCTAGCAATGTGCTTACAGTTGAAAGCACAGACACAGCCCACAGTAAAACAGCACACAGTTAACCCTTTGATCACCCCCACATGTTAACCCCTTCCTGCCCAGTGCCATTAGTAGTGTCAGTGCTTTCTATTAGCACCGATCACTGAATTGGTGTCACTGGAGATGTCAGTGACACCAAGTCAGTTCCCCCCAGTGTCAGAATGCCAGCCGCAGTCTCATTATAAATTGCAGATCGCAGACATTAATAGTAAGAATTAAAAAAAAAAAAAAATCCCAATATATAGTATCTCACAGAAGTGAATACACCCTTCACATTTTTGTAAATATTTTATTCTGTCTTTTTCATGTGACAACACTGAAGAAATGACACTACAATGTAAAGTAGTGAGTGTGCAGCTTGTATAACAGTGTAAATTTGCTGTCCCCTCAAAATAACTCAACACACAGCCATTAATGTCTAAACCGCTGGCAACAAAAATGAGTACACCCCTAAGTGACCATGTCCAAATTGGGCCCAAAGTGTCAACATTTTGTGTGGCCACCATTATTTTCCAGCACTGCCTTAACCCTCGTGGGCATGGAGTTCACCAGAGCTTCACAGGTTGCCACTGGACTCCTCTTCCACTCCTCCATGACGACATCACGGAGCTGGTGGATGTTAGAGACCTTGCGCTCCTCCACCTTCCATTTGAGGATGCCCCACAGATGCTCAATAGGTTTTAGGTCTGGAGACATGCTTGGCCAGTCCATCACCTTTACCCTCAGCTTCTTTAGTAAGGTAGTGGTCATCTTGGAGGTATGTTTGGGTTCGTTATGTTGGAATACTGCCCTGCGGCCCAGTCGCTGAAGGGAGGGGATCATGCTGTGCTTCAGTATGTCACAGTACATGTTGGCATTCATGGTTCCCTCAATGAACTGTAGCTCCCCAGTGCCAGCAGCACTCATGCAGCCCCAGACCATGACACTCCCACCACCATGCTTGACTGTAGGCAAGACACACTTGTCTAAGTACGCCTCACCTGGTTGGAACCACACATGCTTGACACCATCTGAACCAAAAAAGTTTATCTTGGTCTCATCAGACCACAGTACATGGTTCCAGTAATCCATGTCCTTAGTCTGCTTGTCTTCAGCAAACTGTTTGCAGGCTTTCTTAGGCATCACAAAGTTGTTACATGAAAATATAGAATAAAATATTTGAGGGGTGTACTCACTTCGGGGAGATACTGTATATATGTGATTTGCATTACCCGGGGGGGGGGTGCACACGCACGCCACCATTGGTGGCTAGGGATGTCAATCACTGGGTCCTGGCCAGCGATTCCTTGCTGACATGCGACGATCGATCGTCAGTGAAAGCTGACAGGGGAGAGACCTGTGTGTAAACAACACAGGTGTCTCTCTTGTCAGCATGGACGTGCTGCTTTGTATTTCTCTGCACAGCAGAGATACAAAAGAGGATGTCTCCTTAGTAAAACACACACAGCACAGTTAACCCTTTGTTCGCCCAAGATGTTAACCCCTTCCTGCCCAGTGTCATTAGTACAGTGTCAGTACTTTTTATGAGCACTGATCACTTTATTAGTGTCACTGGGGATGTCAGTGGCAGTTAGTTCCCCCCCAGTGTCAGAATGCCCGCTGCAGTCCACTATAAGTTGCTGATTGCTGCCATTACTAGTAAAAATTCCAGTATATATACCGCCATTTGTGAACGCTATAACTTAAACGTAAACCAATTAACTTACGTGTATTGGGATTTAGTTTATCAAAGACATGTAGCAGAATACATTTTGGCCGAAATTTATGACAAAATGTGATTTTTTTTATTGGATATGTTTTATAGCAAAAACTAAAAAAAAAGGTGTCAAAATTTCTTTTTTTTTTTTGTTTATAGCACAATAAAAAACGCAGAGTTGATCAAATACCACCAAAAGAAAGCTCTATTTGTTTGGAAAAACGACATGTTATTTATGTACAGCATTGCATGACCGCGCAATTGTCAGTTAATGTAACGCAGCGCCGTATTGCAAAAATTGGCCTGGTCAGGGGGGGGGGGGGGTAAATCTTCCAGGGGACACGTGGTTAACCCTTGCAGTGAGGGAAGGCTTCACTACCCGGAGTTGGGCACACAGATGTTGCCAGCCCGTGTAGAAGATTCGTCCTGTGCAGGTGAATCACCAGGCCTAGAGCTTCAGCATCATACTGGACAGTGCAATCACTGCCTGCATCCCAATGGAGATCAATCCACTCTTTAAGTACCAGGCACTTAACAGGTACACATCCTGCAGTCCACTCATCACGATGATGGCAGTGGGGACAAATCACATTTCTAGGCACAGGGGGAATAATACAAACAGCCAAGCAGGGAGATGGTGTCTGCTGATGGTGGGTTGAAAGCAAGCTCCATATGTGAGGTCCCCTGCAATGGAGATGAATACAGAGAGCAGTGCAATGTATGGGATTAGAAAGGCACGCCTGTGTCCTCCCCTTTACCTATCCTGCCAGGCGAATCTGGGGGCCCCGACTGGCCGGCACACAGCTGGTACAGCATAACACACAACAGGATGATCGGGGCCATGCTGCTGCAGAGGATGCGACGAGGAAGCTGCACTCTATCCTGCCTGACCAATCAGCGAAGAGAACGGGAGACTGGGACTTCCGTAGACCCGAGGCTTGGAACGCAAGCAGCGCCGTGAGCACTAGTACGCAGGCGCATTACGTACTCTTGCTTCTAAACAGGTGTTCTTCGTGAAGGGCTCGCTTTCCTTATTTGCATGGTGTGCCCATAAATATGAACTATATGCTATTAGAAACCAGTGAGACATTAAATATAGAGCTTGCTAATGGCCACCCTGCAGGTTTAACCACTAGCCTACAGGGCAATTCTACCCCCTTCCTGCCCAGGCCAATTTCCAGCTTTCAGCGCTGTTGCGCTTTGAATGACAATTGCGCGGTCATGCAACACTGTACCCATATGACATTTTTTATCATTTTTTGTGACAGACAGAGCTTTCTTTTGGTGGTATTTATTCACCTCTCGGTTTTTTTATTTTTTCTTAAATCAAAAACCACTGAAAATCTTGGGAAAAAAAAGTTTTTTCTTCGATTTTTGTTATAAAATTTTGTAAATAAATGATTTTTCTCCTTCACTGATGTGCGCTAATGAGGCTGTACTGATGGGCGCTGATAGGCTGCACTGATGGACACTGATAGGTGGCACTGATGAGGCACTGGTAGGTGGCACTGATGGACATTGACAGGCATCACTGATGGGCACTGAAAGGCAGCACTCATATATGGCACTGATAGGCGGCACTGGCTGGCACTGATAGGCGGCACTGACTGGCACTGTTAGGTGGCACTGACTGGCAGTGTTAGGCGGCACTGATAGGCAGCACTGACGGGCACTGATAGGCGGCACTCATGTACACTGATAGGCAGCACTGACTGGCACTGATTGGCAGCAATGACTTGCATTGATAGGTGGCACTGATGGGTGACACTGAAAGGCAGCTCAGATGGGCACTGATATGTGGCACTGATGGGCACTGAAATGTGGCACTGATGGGCACTGGCAGGTGGCGCTGCTGGGGCTACACAGATCATCAGGGCACACTGATCATCAGTGCTCTGATAATCTGTGTAGATGTCCCCTCCGAGGAATGCCGATTACCGCTCTCCTCACCAGCTGTCAGTGTGACAGCTGGTGAGGAGAGAAATGCCGATAACCAGCATTTCCCTGTTTACATGTGATCAGCTGTGATTGGACACAGCTGATCAAATGACCGAGCTGACATCTTCAGCTCTTTCTGTAGATCGGTGATCCGTTGTGTCCAAGGGACACAGCGCACCGCCGATCGCCACGCTGCGCGCTCCCAGAGCCGCGCATGCGCGGTGAGAATGGGAGGCCGTCATATGACGTCATCCCAGAACGAGAGAACTGCCTTGCGTCCGTCATTGTACTATATGGCAGGCGGGAGATGGTTAAAGTAAAGTGTTTACTAAACCCATAACTCCGCGTTCACTATTTCTGATCTCCCACAGTACACAGAACATAGAAATAAAATTATTTTAGTAGATATAAACTTATTTTCTCATCAGCAGTTAGAGCAGACTTGTGACTTCTATCAATGTCCAGCAGAGCACTGGTTAAAGCTTGTAGGAAGAGTTTTCTTTCTGCTCTAGGAGGATGCAAAACCCCTGACCTCTGTCTGGACAGTGCTGATTGGCCCTGTGCTGATCTCATGCACTAGCAATACACCCCAACTGAGCATGTGCACACAATGCAGAAGATTAACCCCTTAGGTTCCACAGTGAGTATAACAGCATGCTTTACTGCATATACAGACTGATTTTACTGATGTGGGTTTAGTAACACTTTAATAAAAATATATTTTTGTACATTATTGCTTTTTATTTCGTCTTCAAATTAGCACAAATAAAGAACTCGGGTTATCAGTTGATTTATGAAAATTAGTAGGGAATCTCCCACAAATTCCAGATCACTGTCTATTTTAATAAATTATATACTGATTATTTTCTCAGAGTGAAAGTTCTGACAGTGCATGGCTTTGAATGCTTCCAGGATGCATTTGGAGATGTGGACATGCACGGAGGTGACATTGGGAGCTACGACTGTGTCTGTGCAGCTGCTGCGTCCCATTTGAGAGCAATGAGATGGCCTTCATGTGGATTCACGGAACACCTATAGTACCACTGGATTGGTGTAAGGTCAATGTGGTGCAAATATTTTAAAAGGGGTCAAAATCTTTACTAAGTAATTATAGATCTGTTAGTTTAACTTCTATAGTTGGGAAGATACTGGAGAGTTTAATAAAAGACCACATAGATGAGTTCTTGCTGGAAAAAAATATTTTAAGCAACAGACATCATGGATTCATGAAAGACAGAAGTTGTCAAACAAATCTGATTTCTTTTTATGAGGAGGTGAGCAAAACCTTGGACAGAGGGGTGTCGGTGGACGTGGTATACTTGGATTTTGCAAAAGCGTTTGACACAGTTCCTCACACACAACTAATGTGTAAGGTAAAGTCTATGGGCTTGGAAAAATCTGTATGTAAATGGATAGAAAACTGGCTAAAAGATCGTATTCAAAGAGTAGTGGTTAATGATTTATACTCTGAATGGTCTAGGGTTGTCAGTGGTGTACCCCAAGGTTCAGTGTTAGAACACTTACTTTTTAATATATTTATAAACAATATAGGGTCTGGGATTAAAAATACCATTTCAGTCTTTGCAGATGACACCAAGCTGTGCAGTGGAATAATGTCCTTACAGGATGTCTTCAATTTACAAGCTGAACTCAATGCACTGTGTAATTGGGCAACTATGTGGCAAATGAGGTTTAATGTTGATAAATGTAAGATTATGCACTTGGGGGCTAAGAATATGCATGCATCATACATACTAGGGGGAGTACAACCGGGGGAATCAATAGTGGAGAAGGATCTGGGAGTTCTGGTAGATCACAATCTTAATAATGGCATGCAATGCCAAGCTGCGGTTTCCAAATCGAGCAAAATCCTCTCTTGTATTAAAAGAGGTATAGACTCCAGAGAGAGAGATATCATATCACCCCTGTACAAATCATTAGTAAGACCTCATCTGGAATATGCAGTTCAGTTTTGGGCACCAATTCACAAAAAGAAAATCGGAGAACTGGAGAAAGTACAGTGAAGGGCAACCAAACTGATAAGAGGCATGGAGGAGATCAGCTATGAGGAAAGATTAGAGGAACTGAATTTATTCTCTCTTGAGAAGAGGAGATTAAGGGGGGATATGATCAACATGTATAAATACATCAGAGGTTCATATAGTGAACTCGGTGTAGAGTTATTCACCCTGAGGTCATCACAGAGGACAAGGGGGCACTCTTTACGTCTGGATGAAAAGAAATTTAATCTCCAAACACAGAAAGGTTTCCTCACAGTGAGAGCTGTGAAAATGTGGAATAGACTCCCTCAAGAGTTGGTTCTGGCCAGCTCAGTGGATTGCTTTTAAAAAAGGCCTGGATTGTTTCCTAGATAAACATAATATAACTGGATACTAACATTTATAAAGTTGATCCAGAGAATATCCAATTGCCTCTTGGGGGATCAGGAAGGACTTTTTTTCCCTTCAGGAGCAAATTGGATCATGCTTTGCTGGGGTTTTTTTTGCCTTCCTCTGGATCAACTGTGGGTATAGGATTATAACTTTTTTTTTCTTTTTAATGGTTGAACTGGATGGACTTTTGTCTTTTTTCAACGTAACTATGTAAGCTGCATGCCCAAGCATGTAAACATGGCTCTTCATGGTGTACAGTTATGTACACCCTGTGTAAATGAGGCCTAAGGGTGGTGTTGTGCGTTGTTAAAAAAAAAAAAAGGTGAGTGAGGTTCCCTTTTAAATGTTGTTTTTTTTTGGTTGTGCCATGCCTGCCTCCACCACATATAACATATAACTGCTCACCTCCAGGATTTTACCTCTAAGTGAAATTAGGTCAAATTGCGCTAGATCCTCCTTAGGGTTATTGTCTGGGTAGGATGCACACTTCAGGCTTTTCTTTGGTGCATTCACCACTCACACTCCTAGAGAGCATGTAAAGGTAACAAAGAGGACCAATAGTGCTCTCAGTACATAGTTTTTAATGGTACTAAAAGGGTTAGAAAACACTCACAGAAAAAAAGCATATTCAGTGCTATCAATGGCGCTTTGTGGTAAAATGTCATAAACTTTACCTAAAAACGGGTGGAATATGGAACATGTTCCAAAAGGAGAACTTATCCTTCAAAGGAGAATGGAGCAGTCTAACATCCTCGCAATTGAGAACCACAAACAGTCTTGAAAAGTCTTAGAAAAGTCACCATCCATAGCTGGAGACTGCTCACAGACCAAATTAGAGAGATCTAGAATTTGTGGGTTCTATCCATAGCCCTGAGTGGTCCAGCAGCCAATCCTGGATGGCTCCAGGTAGGTAGAACCAGGCATCATCTAACTCCTCTGCCCAGCCCAGCCTTCAGCCTATTTACCGTTTCCTGACCACTTAATGGGCACACCTCCCCAAGGATTTATCAGGGGGTAGCGAAAATTCAAGCTGAGGATTTTAGTCTTCCTGCCCAAGGCTCTGGAAGTTTTTCAACAGGACTAGGGGGAAGCAATCAATCCCACAGTCTGTGGAGCCAAAGCAGAGAAAAATAGACAATCCTGCTCCTCTGACTACAGAGGGAGCCAAAAAAAAACCCTCACATTTCCCTACCATCTAACTAGGGGGGTACTACACATCTATACAGTCTCACATGTAACTACAGTGCATTACAAAAGTATTCAGACCCCTTTCACTTTTTTTTAGTTTTGTTGTATAGATGCTGCATCTGTCTGCTCTAAGTGTGAGAACTCAGCGAACACATGACTGCTGAATTTTCACAGCCGCTCTGAGCCAGGTGCCGCTCCAGACTCTGGGGTGAATCCCATCTTTGAAGTCAGGATCTTTCTCCAGCCTGGAGTGACGTCAGCCGACAGTGGACGTCAGCCCGCTGTCCGCTGAAAATGGGTCACAGGAGTGCAGAACGAACTGCACTCCTGTAATCCACAGAAATACAGCCAAAAAAGTTTTGGCTGTACTTCTCCTTTAACCTCTTATATTCCACATTAAATATAACAAACATGCTTTACTGTACATACAGACTAAATTTACTGTTCTGGGTTTAGTAACACTTTAAATCTGGACAGTATTGCCTTCTTAAAACAAAGGCAAATTAAAGCAGAGTGCCAACTAAATAGATGTCCTCTGACAGCCAGCATCATTCAACCCACTTCCTCTGAGCCCAGGTTATCCTGGACCTGTACCAGCTTGAGCTGATACAGGTCACATTCAAATACTTACACTGGTTGCATTTAGAAAACACATATAATGATGAATTGAGAGCTGCATTAATTTGTGTTTTTCATATCTTCCTGAAGTTCAGCTCTTATCTATCAAACACAACCACTAGATGTCCCTGCAGTATCATTTATTACTGCATGTTTGATAACTTGAAAACCCAGGATTTGTGAAAGTGGTTGTGTTTTACTATTGCATATTTACAATATTCACATGTGTACTGTGTATGTTATGAGTAGTTTGTTTGTTGAAATCTACTCCATGTTTGAGCAGGACGGCAAAGCAATTGCAAAAAAATAAAACATGAAGAAACTCTGTTTTTGGGGTTCCATTGCCTCCAAGGTTGTTGGCCAGCCCTGCTCGTCAGGTCTGAATGAGGAATAAGAAAACACAAATTGGAGATTTCTTTCCAGTACTTTACATGCCCGTGGCGCAATGCTATAGTAATTATCATTATTATTATACAGGTTCCTTTTATTTTTTTTGAGCAATGTATTATGGCTAGGTTTTGCACTACTTCCAGTGTAGTCATTTAGATAGAAAATGAGCCAAACATCTCCAAGAGGATACACTTTTTTTCATGCTGTCCATGACCCCTTTGAGAGCATGCTCTTCACTGTGTGGTCACCAAAACAAGAAGTGAGCTGAAATCTACCCAACAGGGACAAAGACAGCAGCAAGGGTAAATTCACACTAAGTGTGGTGGGACTGCATTGGGTGGCTATTCCAGTGCAGTCCCAGCTAAAGACAAGGCAAAATGCTTTGTCTCCGGTGTGGCCAGTTCACACCACAGCGATGCAGTGGTGAGCGCCGGGGGGAAAAAAAATGATATATATATCTCGCACTCACCGGCCACTTTATTAGGTACACCTATTCAATCACAAACAAGTCCATC